TCTAGGGCTCAAGAGTCAGAGAGAAGGATACCAACGTATTCTCAAATTAGTACCTAGCTATTAATCTCATAAATACAATTCTGTAGCTGTGACATACACTTTGGGCAAACCTTTCCTTTTTATGAAGATGTGAAAAGATGGAGTTTTATAGCATTTTACTGCTTAGACTTGCTTAAAGCTACAGATTGCCATGACAAGGGAAAGTCAAGGAGAAATACCACCACACAATGTTTAACATTTCCTCCAAAGCACCTGTCACAGAAAAATTAAATTATCCGTGGACCTTACATAGGAATTTATGGTTGCTTAGCCAAGAGTCATTCCAAGTAAAGGCACATTCCTGTGTCTGACTGAGCAAAGTCTTTGTCTGACTTTGCAAACTCTTGTGATGGCTGGGAGCTGATTCCCAGGGGCAGAGGCTGCTGGTGCTTGGAAATCCCTTTGCCCTTCACTTGCTGTTTTCAGCCAGGTATCTATTCAGTGCTTTCAGAGGAGGCCCTACCTTCCAAAATTTCTCAAGAGGTGCTAGAACTAATTGCTTTTCTCACTTAAAAAGCAAGATGTGCAGGTCTAGCAGCAGGCAAAGAGGGCATTCCATGGAAACCTGACTCTCTGGGGAGGAGCACAACTGGCTGGGTAAAAACCGAGCTCAGTATTTGTGTAATAACAGTGAAACTTAAACTTTTATCTCAATATTTTCAGAGCACAGGCTAAACTACAGATTTTATAGACCAACAGTACCAGAAGTGAATTCTCTCCTTTATTTGCCTTTTTGCTCAAAAAGTAACTGTCTGCTTTCTCAGCCTCTGCTCCACCAGATGCTCAAGTGAGATATTTAAGCCCATATTCTTTGTGATGCTTCATGAAGGGTTAAAATCTGTGAAGTTGACTTTGTATCCACCATCACTGGGAATAACAAAAATGAAATTATTTCTTTCTGATATGTATTTGTGCTAACAGAAATTATTATGATAACAAAATTGTGTGCAAAACCACAATATTTATAATTGCATATTTAAGCTAAGGTGTGATTTTAACTGATATGTGATGTGACTGTATCTTTATAGATGTTAGTTGTGAAATCCATGCTAATTTTATACTGATATACACTAACACTACAAAACTTTGTCAGATATCATGCTGATGCAACTGTTTCTGTTTGCCCTTTGTTTAGAACAGCAATCAACCTTTTTTCTTGTACCCAGATGTTGTAAATTATATATGTGAGAATGTATTTTTTTTTAATTATGTGGGTTTAAATTTATTGATAATTATATCAATTTTTTTGCTAGAAGTGAAAGTGGCTGGATGTCAACTACTGACTGCAGTGATATAACTTTGTATATTTATTTTGTGGATAGCAAAGTTCCTTGCAACACTTAGTCTGAAATAAATGTCTGATTCGTAGCAATATTGAAATCCATGCTTATATCCTTATTTAACATCTTTCCAGTAAGGGATTGCATTCTTATTGGACTTTTTTTTAGAAGTTTATTCAGAATGTAACAGAAGAGGTGCTGCTTTCACATCTGGCTTGGGGAGCTGCTTCCTTTCTGAAATGCTGAGATTTCAGAACCTTCAGTGAAAGTAAATTGTGCAGCTGAGAAAGGTCAGGTGTATTTGTAACACACTTTGGTTCAAATTATCACATGACCTCCCTGAGTTCAGAATAAAGGATATATCAGAGAAGCTCCAGTGTGCTGTATTTTTATACAAATTGCAGTGAAATTTGAAAATTCTCTTTCTATATTTTATATCTTCTTCAGACACAATTGTTTCTTTGCTCTTTTGTTCTTTTCAGTAATAGTTTATTTTCTCATTATTCTTTCATTACTCCTGGGATACAGTGATACAGCAAATGCCAGTGCATTGGCTCAAAGTGATTTGGACTCCTGAATTCATTTATCTGGGAGCTGAATCTTGGAAATTTTTGAATTCTAACAAATTATGTAACTATGTAAGAGCAACTGGTTTGGAGGGAGTCTTTTTTTGACCTACCCAGATTAATTCTGGTTTCATTTTGTCACTTCATGTGATTTATTTATTTATTATAAATAGTGTGAAATTATTCAGAGAAATGTAGAACAATTTTTGTTCAAAAGAAGCATTTTGTAATTCTTGGATGCATGCTACTGTGGGGATTAATTTGTAATGGATTTTTGTTGCTATTCTAATAAAATGTTGAGCAAGATAATTCTACTGCAATTTGATGTTTTTAACAACTGCTTGAATACAACCTATTGTCTTGCTGTCCTTAGCAATGGACAGACAATTTAACAACATCCTTTTTCATTTGAAGGAGAATGAGATCCTGAAAAATGCAGTCTTTTTTTCCTGAAGGAAGAGCAGTGTGCCAGTAGTCTAGCAGCAGTTACAGTGCTTAAATGGGAGGGGATTCATAGAATCCTTGTCCCTGTTACAAGGATTATTTATGTATTTTACATAAATTACATTGGACAGCATTAAACAAAATGAACAAACACATAAAAAAGAAGAAAACTCCCCACATCTTGGGAGTAGGGGCAGAGCCCAGAAGCCACGTTGGTCACTACAATCAGCATAGCTGGTTTCTGTACTCTATGGGTACTGCTTGGCTTTTCTGGTGATGTCAGCCACTTGTGCCTGAACCCAGCCCCAAGAGGGTGAGTGGAATTTCTTCATCTGCTGTTTTTCCTCAAGGTAATGCACAGAAACCTGAGTCTCCTGAGGATCAGGATATACAGAAAAGCCAAAATCCCTAGAGCTAGACTAAAGCCCAATTCATGTCTTTCATTTTTTAGGTAAGTGCTCTACCATTAGTCCTAAAGACAGAGGGCTCCCTCTCCAGTCAGATCCTGCTGACTCTGTGAATCCCAGGTAACAGGTTTCTTAACAGTTTCATTTGTACCCAACTCACGTTGTCTCCACGGGGCTGGATAACTCCATACACTGGTAGGTGATGGGGATGAAGTCAGAGCAGCTCTGGACATGAGGTACTCTGGATCCTGGTGAACAGACTGACCACGAAGCAGCAAAAGCCACCTGCAGCAAAGACAACTATTTACAGCCCGTACCTTGGTTATATACAAATATGGAATAATGAAAATAAGATTGTAGTAATATACTTTCACCTAAAATCTTCACTTAACTCATAGCTTCTAATAAAACGAAGCACAGAAAACAGGTAATGTCTAAAATAAGTGTCACCCATCCAAAAAGTGTAATTTTTGAGATGAGCTTTATCTATGATGGGCATACTTTGATCTTATATTAATTTCAGAATGCAATTATGCAACTCTACTGCCAGCTCCACATCAGAAAGAGGTCCTGTAACAATGG